ATGGTCATCATTCTCGCCGGTCCTTCTGCAGACCCCGATACGACGCCGGCATCATCGGCATACAGCATCCCCCATACTGCCCTCCGTGCTCGGTCAAGGCGTGTCTCCTCCCCCCTCCCCGCTTCCGTCTTCCCCTCCTCCAAGCACACCAGGCTCCGCAGAACAACATCATCCTCGCTGAATCGGATGACAACGACCTCGAGGACCTCGGCGAAGAAGATGTTGAACAGCAGTGGGGATAGCACGCATCCTTGTCGCACGCCCTGTGTCACGAAGAACCAGTCCGATAGTTCTCCGTCGTCCATTCGCACCCGGGCCCGCATTCCATCGTGGAATTGGCGGATGACTTCGATCAGCTTCGCGGGAATCGCGGCCCTGGCCAGCACCTTCCATAGCATCTCTCGGTCCACGGAGTCATACGCCTTGTTCAAGTCGACGAAGCACATGTAGAGCGATATTTTCTTTCTCCGCCTCAGCTCCTGGAGGCGGCGCACGACGAATAGCATGTCGACGGTGGATCGCCCGGGTCGAAATCCGCACTGTTCCTCCGGGAGGATGTTGNGGAGTCATACGCCTTGTTCAAGTCGACGAAGCACATGTAGAGCGATATTTTCTTTCTCCGCCTCAGCTCCTGGAGGCGGCGCACGACGAATAGCATGTCGACGGTGGATCGCCCGGGTCGAAATCCGCACTGTTCCTCCGGGAGGAGTAGGAATGGGCGATTGACCATCGGTGATCGGTCCTGAGGGAACAATGCTCCGTCCTACCGCAGACTCGTGTTGGTCAATGATCTAACCGCCAAGCCTGCAAAACATGAGTACGCTCCCCCGTCGTCTCCGCCATTTTGAGCCACCTTTTTAGGCAAAGTAGGAAGGAACGGTTGGCCATCGGTGATCGGTCCTGTGGGAACAATGCCCCATCCTATCGCAGACTCGTGGTGGTGAATGATCTAACAGCTAAGCCTGCAAAACATGAGTACGCTCTCCCCCCCCTCCCAGCCGTTTTGAGCCACCTTTCGGCAAAGTAGGAAGGGACGATTGGTCATTGGTGATCGGTCCTGTTAGAACAATGCCCCATCTTCTCGAGGACGCGTGGTCAATGGTCTTACCGCTATGGCATGCAACACACAAGAGTACGCCCCCCCCCCCCCCCCCCCCCCCCCCCCCCCCCCCCCCCCCCCCCCCCCCCCCCCCCCCCCCCCC